GCTAAATGTGTCGCTGTTGCACAGAGGAATTGAAAAAAGCATAAAATGAAGGACTGTACAAGCTGAAACACAGTGAAAATGTATGAACTTTTGCAGTGATAAAGCTAGAGAAAAATTATTGATAAGTGGTAGTCGAACAATATATTTAAATTAATTTAATTGCCTGCACAGCAAAGAAATTTGTAAATAAATTGCTGATAAACTTTCACTTTTTTTTTTTTTGCCACTTTAGAAATTTGTAAAATCTTATTATTCAAAAATGCTTTTAAGAGATATCTTTTCTATCAATTTTATTTAGCTACAGCCAACTAGTAGTAACTTTACCATTATTATATTTGGTGTGCATCACACTGTTTTGAATGGCTATGCAATTTCATAATGCTTAATTCTTGATAGAAAATGTAAAAAAAAATTTGTTTCGATTTGCATAATTTTTATTCTTATTAAAATTACATTAAGTCAGATTATTTGTAGGACACTAACTTTGTCTCGGTGACAGTGTAACAAAAAAAATAGTTTAAATTTACTCAATACATAAAGCATTTTCTCTTAAATGCTCAAGAAGGGGTCTGTTATACATTTGATTGTTCTTGCTTTTTTCCTTCATATTTGTCTTGCCTTAAGTTTATTTAGTACTACTAAACTTTAAAAATAATGACTTCTCAGTGTACTGCGGCTGAAAATATCAGTGAATAAAATCGGCAGTACAGCTTTCTCAACCATGCATTATTGTTCTTAAAATTATTAATAGAATTTACAAAGTGTTTTATCTTTTTAGTTATTTTTTTTCCAAAAATTTTTTACAGTAACTAAGATAGGAAGAAGAAAGGAATAAGAATTATGTAGCTTACTAAGCGAATATTGGTTGAGCGTCGTGAATTTCTCTGTAAAGCTCTCCCTTTCCTGGTTACACTGATGAAAACACCGACATATCCAAAAAGCATGATCAAAGCTGCGGTTTGGTTGCATAAAAAAAGCACAAAAACATAATCCATTTGGAACGTTATGCAATGAGCACAACTGAATGTATACATCAGAGTCCATCGATTAAACCTAAACTGTAGAGACGGTTTATTGAAAGCACATATAATTGTTGCTGATATTAAAAAAGTGTTTCTGAACACTTAATTCGTGTTTTTTATCATATCAGTCCGATAATAGAATGTTTAGTTCACAAAAGTGAAATAGCACAGAAAAAGCACTTCTCCATTGCGTACTTTTTTCCAAAAAAATTGTCCTAACTATTAGCAGTCAATTATTCAAAAAATTTTTTTTCTAATTTTATTGGTAACCGAAAAAGATTAATAATTTTATCACAAAGCAATTTACCTCTTAGAAAACGGTAAAGAATAATGTTTTTAGACCAAACCTTTTCAAGAAATACTTTATATAATGTAATACTCTATACTTTACTACCTACTTCATACATTGTAAAGCAACTTTACCAAACAGTGACTGTTACAAGATCCTGGTTAATATTTGAATAATTAACTCCAATAATTACTGTTTACATTTTTAATATACTGTAATGATTTTTCAAACATTAATCAAGTGCAAAGTTTGGAAGATTACTAAAACAAAAAAAAAATGCAATTTTTTTGTTGCTGACTATTCTCAGTTGTTAAGGTATAAAAAAGATTATTTTGGACGTAAAATTATCGCTTAAGTAGAAAATTTATAAATTTTAAGTAAAAAATTTATAATTTTTTAAAAATAATACAAAAAATCTTTTGAATAAAAAATTTCTTTTTCAACTTATGAACATTTGATTGAGCTCATTCTGAGCTTGCTCAAGTTTAAGGAATTATTTTTTGGAAGATTGGAAATGTTGATTTGTAACCACAGTTCAGAAGAAGTTATTTGTAACATTTTCGCACACTGTCAATTACGCTGTAAATGTCCTTGATAAAATTTCAGAAACATTTCAGTTATAAATTTGAAAAGTTACATTTGTCAGGCTAAACATTTAGTTTAAAAAACTATCTTAAGATTATATCTGATTTATGCACTCTAAGTGAACAACTGATAAACGTAGTTCACACAGACGGATATCAGCTTCATTAAATCAATTAAACTAAGTAAAGACATTACAGTAATTAGTTCATATAAGTATCACAAATTGCATTCTTTTCAATAATTTTGGTTAGATATATTAACAAGCTTGAAGAAAAGATGACAAATTGAGCAAATACATTAGCATTACCACAAAGAAATGTGTTATTAAAAATGCTTTTTGATAAAATTGTTTACTTGTACAAGTTTCACCCTTTATTAAGCTGTTTAAAGTTTTCAAATAATAATTAGCACACTTTTAAAATTTAACACTTTTGAGTACGCATCAGCATTTAAATTTGTTTCTAGAAATTACAGTGCCAAAAATATTTAGGAATAAGCTTGGTAAGCTTTTTCTTTTTGTCTCTACGTAACATTACTTAACATTTGCATAAATAATAGTTTTACTGAAATCTATTTCAATTATAATGTTAATTACTATCCTCAAAAAATCTTCAAAAAAAAAAAAAAAATGAATGCTATAATTGATAATAAATACCTTCTATAACAACCAATTGCTGTAGTTGTAATAGCCACAGAAAAGCCAAAAATCCACGGTAAGATAATAACAATTCTATAGTATTTTGAGATAAAATCTGTTGCAATTCTTGATGTAAACAGGGATATACGCTCAACAGCAATAATGCAATTAGTAAATGTTGTGGTATAGGATGCTAAACTTTCCAGCCAAACTACAAAAATCATTGTTCGATCTTCGTAATAAAACGTACATAAGGTGAATGTACAGGGAATTTGTACATAAAGATTTACAGTCAGAAGAGCTACTGATGCTATTGCTAACGACAGTGTCATATGATAGCTAACTGTATTTTTGAGATTAGGCCATAAAATATGGTAGGTTAACAACAGCATTATATTAATCACTAAACCAGCAACTGTCGCAACAGTGAACACAATACCGGCTACAACTCTTTCAGTTGTCGACAAATTTATCTCCCGAAGACAAGTGATCAGTTCCGGATTATTCATCTGAGCACTCCGAAAGCTGAAATACTTTTTTCTGATTCAGAATTCAATACTATATTTAGAATATAGTTCTGGAGAAACTGTTGCTGTTTTAGTCTACAAAATAACGACTTGCAAAATGATTAACCATGGTTGGTAATGCAACTTTTGTTAAAAACATTAAAAACAGCCAAAAAAAAAAAAAAAAAAAAAAAAAAAAAAA